CAGTCCTTGAATGAGGCGTCCACTGTGGCAAGAAGGGGAGCAGGTTCCGCCTCTGAGCCTGTGAGCACAGCGGAAGGAGCACTCCTCCCGTCTGACGCACGGAAGGTCCTGCATGCAATTTGTGCCCGTCTAAGAAGTCTACCTTCCCACCAATTGATATGGAACCTGACAGGGGGTCCCTGGACCATTTTCCTTTTGAAGGGAATGGGTGGGAGGGTTCCATGCAATATTCATGACTTTGTTCCACCCACAGCCCAGCTTGAATGCCCTGCCAGCCTGCAAAGCCGTCCTGGTCACACCTGGGCAGGGGCCAAGCCGCGTCTGCTTGATGGGGACCAGAACAAGCTGGGACGGCTCAACACTTGTCACCAACAATAATCAAGCATATCCATTGATTGATTCCTCCTCCCCATAAAACTCGACAGACCCTGCCTGCAGGTTGGCCAAAGTGAAGACACTTCACCAAGGAAACCCAAATAATTGGATCACATGAAAGCATACTCCCATGTCACCTTGCCAACTTCCCCGACATCAACTTCTGCGTGGACCCTGTGAAGCCAGCTGACTCTTGAAAGCGAGTACTCAAGAGCTGGCTTCAACCATGCGGAACAGGACCTGCCTGTCCTGAGCCCTGAACCTTGAACCATCTACTAGGTGCCAATGGCAGCCTCAAAAATTCGGCTTTATCCTCCATTTTCTTGCAGGCTCAGCAAACAAAAGCGTCAGCGCTTGCGAACACATACGCTGAACCAAGTTGAACCAAGCCAAGAGCTCACTGGGAACATGGGATTTGCACGCCGCGCCACAGGATTTCGAGTGGCCCGTGACCGCAGTGAAGAATCAAAGCGACCTCCCCTCAATCAACCAGAAGTCCATCCGTCTGCCAATGGAGGATAGCTCTGCCTCTGTGTGTGCTCTGGATCAGTTTCTTCCAAGCCGTCCAAAACGGTGTACTCCAGCAAAGGAACAGTTACTACATTTTTTTTTTTTTTTTTAAACATCTAAAAAGGCAACCAAAGTAAAGTAGGGCAATGGACAATGGTTCTTTCAGTTTTACGGCTCTTTCATTCAAAGAGAAATAACTTCAAAGAAACAACCTTTAAGGAATATCTTCAAGGAAGTATCTTCAAAAATCTGAACCTTTGCAGAAACATCTTCAAACAGATCCCAATGCGGATTTCCTCCATTTCTCGGCCCGAATGAACTGTTCTCCAAACAAAACCATCGGGAATGGAATGACCATATGTGGCTTCTCAAGGATCCTCATGAGGATTCTCATACAGGGATCCTTACATTTATACACCTGAACATTGCCTTGTAAATTGTGGTTTCCTTTCATTTTGGTGTTGAAAAAGCAACATGTTTCAAATGGTGGCAAAATGTATCTTCTAAGGAGCCCTGTATATAGAACCAGGAATTCTCATGGAATGATATATGGCTTCCTTGGGACTCCCTGGGTTCTCAAAACCCATGGTCGTTACCGACTCAGTTCAGCGACCCTGGAAAAAAGGGAAAACCCTTTCTGGGGCTTGGACCATTTTTAGTGGAGCAGCCACTCAAAAAACAGGGAACAATAATTGGTGCCACTGAACAACTGAGCTGAGGAGAAACAAATCCGCGAGGCGCGGGAGAGCGCCGGCGTCGTCGGCCAGCTCGAGCGCCGCCAGGAAGAAGCCACCGAAGTTGGGCCCGTGGATCCTCGGATCTCCAACATCTCCCGGGTGCGGGCCCCATCCCCCGTCCCCCAAAACACCAAACCAACAAACCAAACAGGAAAGTAGAAGCAACAAACAAAACCAACAGCATAGAGCCAATGAACAACACCAACAAAAGAGAACCTACAAACAAAACCAACAGAGGACAAACCAAAACCCATGCGGCTTTCTGGATCCGCAGAATTTGAGGATCCAAATATTGCGAGCTTGGTTGCAATCATTGACGTTAGCCTGCATCCAGAATCCAGAAAGCGGATTGGTAGGCGTTGTTCTTCTTGTTTTTTTTCCCCTCTATTTTTCCGAGCATTGACTTGTTGCCATTGCTTCTAGTTGGCTCCTTTGCCAATTGGAGAATCCCGGAACAGGGGCCTAACCCGCTGGCTTCTTGGCTTCGCATCGCTTCCGCGCCAAAGGAGTCTTCCTCAGGAGTAACTCGCAACGAGTCAATTCAGGTGCGCCGCTTGCAAAAGCCACCTGTAGCTGTCAAAGTGTTTTTTTGTTTTTTTGGTACCGCATTCTCTGAGGGCCATGCTCCTGCGAAGGAGACCCCCACCCCCCTTCCTCACCAAGCCAAAAACAGCTTGCCACGAGCCGATTCCCATCGACCTCCCATGGCCCAGGCTTCGGAAGGAACCGCGCGCAGCGGTGCAAGGCGAACCGCTGCAGTGGCCGCATGGTGGCGACTTCGCCTTCTGGCACCAGCCAGGTGTCCAGTCCTGGCCCGGTGAGAATGGTGGTTTGGGACGGTAATGCCCTGATTTAGAACATTTACCAACATGGAACCCAAAACAAAAGTCCACCAATAACAAACAAACTTCTCAAGAAGAGCACACATCTTTTGGTGAGTTCCATGCTAGTCTGCGGGATTGTGTAAGTGCGTGCATGTCGTTGGTGCCAATTGATATCCCCAATTTCAAGAACACGCAGTAATGAGCGCACCTTGCAAGAAGCTCGCTCAAACTTATTGATACACCGCTGCTAACCCTAGGTCAGTGCACCGACCCACCAACGTGTCACAGATTTCAATGGGTGCTCAAGCACCATGCTTCAGGCACCTTGCCAGTTTCGGAACGATGTTTACAACAGGTTTTGTGGTTCGGTCCAATGAAACCACAACCCTTGTGCTGGCTGGCGCGCTCGCTCGCTCGCTCGCTCTCTCTCTCTCTCTCTCTCTCTCTCTCTCTCCCTCCCACCCTCCCTCTCGCTCTCTCTCTCTCTCTCGCTCTCTCTCTCTCTCTCTCTCTCTCTCTCTCCGTCTCTCTGTCTCTCTCTGTCTCTCTCTGTCTCTCTCTGTCTCTTTCTCGCGCTCGCTCCGCAAGACATGTCAATCAACTTTTGCCCGCAGTGGATGTCACTGCGATTCTCACTTGAGTGGATTGCCCAGAAACAGTCTAAACTTTTTGTTCTTCTTTCCAAAGAGTGTCAAGTCCAGGAACTTAGGAAGTGAGGCTTCTTGAGGAGAATGAACCTGTGCCATGAAAGGCAACAAGCTGGGCTTGTAATTGAGCTCTTACAAGCTTCTTGGGCACGGAATGCCTTGTGTTGCAGTTTGATCGTTTGTTTGAAGGGATTGACTAGTTCAACAAACATGTGATCCACAAACCAAACGTCAGATCCGGGTGAACAAACATATGATACACTACACATTCACCAACCTGAAATGAGGGACCCCCGAAGAAAGCAACTTTTCGTCTTGGGCGTGGTCACCCCCTCCCCACCCCAAGTATTGTCAGAATATGTAACTTTCATCTTGGGTGTGGTCACCCTGCCCGGTTGTTGTCAAAACGTGTAACTTGCCATGTCTCAAACGGCGGTTTTCCCAGTCCTGGCTGACCCCTCGGGCAGCCCTTGGGAAGCACCTCCTCCGCCTTCCCGGATGCGTCTTCCAGCTCAAGCCCTCCAACTCACGACTTTGGATTGGTTTGGCGGTTCAAAGTGCTTTGGCTTGGCCAATCCGATTTTCCATATACACGGAAGCCACAAAGGAAAAGCGGTTATTTGCATAACCCAAGGACTAAGGATTACCTTTGAACAACCCAGCCAAACCGTTTGGCTCAAGCTTCCTGGGACAAGAAGGTCAAGAAGTACACGATCGAACCAAAATTGGCCAACCAAGCACGCACAAGATCCTCCTAAGAATCAACTGGCACACGTCATAGTGTTGGGCAGTATTCTTGCAGCCCTTTTCGCAACACTTGCCATGTTTTGCTCAAAAAATGCATTTCGGCAGCCACCCTCGGAAATTGGGCTGGCGGGATTGGCTTCAAGAGCAAACAGTGAGCACACCGACAAAGAGTTCACATCGCACTTCAAACAGCAAGCTCAAAGAAGATCCAGATCAAAACCGATAGCTTCCCGCAAGCGGGGAACGCGGCAGACGCAAACAGCAAGCGTGCCACAGCCAAAACCACCCCGTTGTGACCGAAAAGTCACAAGAACCCGAGCAAGTGTTGTCAATCTCTTGGCGGGGAACCACCAAAAGATAAACCTTGGGCGCTGAAGATCCGCCGGCAAAAAGTGCCGAACTTGTTGCAGGAGAAAGGGACGTATGATGAAGGGCATCCAAAAAGCTTCCCAGTCTAAAGATCCTTCAAAGTCACCCCCCAAGTGGCGGTTTAAAGGGACACCTCCCCAGTTTCTGACTTTCATAACCCCCTAGAAATAGTCAAAAGAATGACCAGCAGCAGTGGATACAAATTTTTCGGCGCCGAGGGCCGTGCCGGCAGAAGTCGGAGGCTCGGGAACTGGGCCAAGGCCGCCTGCACAACAGCCTCGCACCTAGGTGAGCTGCGGGATGCTGGGTGTCGACGTTTTGGTGGAGTTGGTACCCCCCGCTTCTTGTGCCTTTAAAGGAAAACCCCAGGACCACCGTCTTGGCCCCTTGAACAAATCCAAGATGTGCGGAGTGGCTTGGACATCATGGGAAGAGGCAAAGGGATGCGAGTGGAAAGAGCTTGGGCACACTTTCAAACAAACGGAATTCCGACAGCAAGCGCTGAAGTGATTATGACTTTCCGGTTGAAGGGAACCAGCTACCAATGGGTTTGCTTGGCAGGGCTAAGGGACCTTGGTTGCAACCTCCAGGCTCCCATTCAACAAAAACTAGCGCATCGCAAGCGAGCGATGAGAAAGCTGTTTGCAAGCTTCGCGATTTCAACCTGCTTTTCCAGCACTCTGAAGTGCAGTGACCAACACTCGCCGAAAAAAGCTGCCCTGGCCAAGGCATGAGGAAACACGCTGAAGGCCCGGCTTCATCCTTCCAAGGCAAGGGACGCCAGAAAAGGGGCGTATTCATCAGCTCCCATGGAATAAATCGGTTGAGGTGTCCCGTGTTCGTTCCCCCACCATACCCCACCAGCCCACCCAACCGACTGTGAATTGCTGGTCATTGACCATGTCAAAAGTCTAACCATCAGCACCCAACCCCTTCCAAGCTTACCCCAGCAGCCCATTGACTCGACAACACCCAGCACCCAACCCCTTCCAAAGCCAAGCTGCTCGATGGGGTTCAAGGAGCAGGTGGAGTAGACCAGTCGGCCCTTGACCTTCAACAGCTCCACAGCCCGCCGCAGCAAGCTCAGCTGAAGGCAGTGGTGGTTCAACCCTGAGGTCACCTCGGAACCCAAAAGGGTGGCAGGTTTTTTTTGAGGCTACCCCTGTTTTGGTGGGTTTTAAAGGGAGACCAAAAAGAAAACCGCCATTTTGGGGGGGGTCCCCTAAAACAAACACACCCAAATGGGTTCTTTCCCTTCCCCTCCCCCTCTTCTTCCAAGTCCCGACGAAATCTGAACAAGCGGTTTCGCAAACACTCCCACGAGCAAGCGAGCATGAAGCAGCTTGACGGGAAACAAACGTAACACATCACAACAGCTGAGCCATTTGTAAACGACCCTTGCACCCAACTGTGAACATCCCAACGCTCAATCCGAAGCGGCCCAAATGGCCAGTCTCCAAGCACAGCGATGGCACAATCCCGAGCCCCGAACACGAAGATAGGCATATTCTGCTCAGGCAGCGAACCTTCCAATCATCCCCTGCAATCCACCCAATTGAAACAGGCCCCTGCCAATGTCAACCACCGCCTATTCCTTTCCAAAGGCACGTTCCAGCGCTGCAGGCGCTTGGGCTCCTTGCGCAGTGTCCCATCGGAGCTGCAAGGCACATCCACCAAAATGCGGTCGAAGCCGCCCGGTAGCAGCCGAGGGAAGGCTGAGCCGTCCGCCGTGGTCACGATCCTAAGATCCACACACCGCAGGCGCTGGCTTTGGCCCAACTCACTTGCCCAAAGGACTTCGAAATAAAAGGTCAATCTTTTGGGGCCATGACTAAAACTGGACCAAGTTGGAAAAACCAAAAGGTCAAAAGGTTGGCTTTGGACAACTGAGCCAAAGAGTCAGTGGGGGCATTTCTCACGATTTTTTTTGGCCGGGCCCAATGGCTCACTTCCCGAGTGGATTGGCGAAAGCAAGTCCAAGCTGATGGTTTACTATTAAAGTGGTCCAAGCCCAAAAAGTGCGAAAGTCCAATGAACTCAGGGAGTGAGTTGAACGGGACAACCACAAGTGTGGGGGGGGTAACCAAAACACACACCTTGGCACTGCGATCCAAGGCTCAAAGGCGAACACTCGTGGCACTTCGCCCTGGCCCAGACCCTCTCCGAGCGCTCGAGGAGCAAATCGTTGGCCACCAATAGGCCGGCTGAGCAGTCCATGTGGCAAGTCAGCGCGTCCAGCAGCTGACAAGTCCTCAGAGAGAAGGATTAACTTCTCACGCAAAGGAGCCAGCGGCAAACACGCCAAGCGAGCGGCGTGGCTTGGGAAAACAAGGGAACACCGGCGAAATGGGCATGTTGAAGGAGAAGTTACTTCTGGCTCAATATGCCCATCTTTGCCGTTTTCGGTTGAAGTCCAAAAACCTAAGAATGTTCACCGGAGCCCAACTCCGAATTCCGAGCCGGTGGCTCACTCCCCACTGGCGCCGCTCGTTTTCGGGCGCCGAGTCTCTTGCTGCCAGGTGCGCTGCACAAGTCCAGCACCGCGTCGCCGGGCTGGACATTGAGGGCTGCCGCCGGGAGCATGGACAAGGCATCCTGGACAACCTGATCTCGGTTGCTTTCTGCTCCCCTGCTAACAGTTTAACGTTTAGTGGTTGAATGGAAAACCCCATTAGTTTGCAAAAAGTGTTGTGTCCTAACATCCCTTGGCAAAATGCACCAAAGTGAAGGCTTTGACCAAACTGGGGATCCATTGGGATTGCAATTGAACTGTCCATCGGAAATCGTTTTGGATGGTTTCTGTGCTAGTAAATAGTTCCTAGTCCCCCACACACTCCCTGGGCGTAACAAATAAACAAGCCCATGGTGTCCCCCAATTTGAACATCATAAAGAATGGTTCGAGAAAACTCCACTGTTCCAATTCCAACATTGGATCCCAATGCAACATGGGAAACCTGTCATTCTCTGGAACCAGCTTCAGGTTGAAACCTGCCGGCCGAATTTTCGCGGGACGGTTTTCGAGGGAAGTCGCACAATCCCTTTGGGAATTTTCAACCAACGTCCAAAGGGTAAGGATCAGTTGCGTTGAGCTTCGCATTGGGTTCGCAAACGGAGTCCTTTTTCAGTGTATCAATTCAGTGTAAGGACACTCACCACTCAACCGGTGCCGGCAAGAATCAAGTCCAGGCAGCAAGGTGAGCGGGAATTCCTCTTGCAACAAAGGGGTGCTTCCAGTTAAGAACCGCATGCATGGCAAGGTTCTGAAGGTTGGACCCGCAGAACCGCGAAATCAACTGCCAACTCCAGGTTTATGACTCTCATGTATGGGTGTGTCTTTTTTGGAGTTGGTGCCCCCATGTTTGCTGATTTCTGGTCTCAACCATTTTGGGAGGGGGGGGGGCCCAAGAAGAGACCATATGGACGCCCATAGCGCAAAGCCGTAGTCGCTTGCCAAAGGTCCAAGCAACGATTTCGCCATTGGATGCCAAAACGTTGATGAGCTGCAGCCCCTCGGTTGTCTCGCTCCTGAGCACCCGAACGGTCCGTGCAATGACTGGGTACTTTTTCAGGGGATCGCTCATCCTGATGCGTAAGTAACCCACTGGCACAGCACAGAGTGCACGGGAAGCCAAAGACTGCCATCTAGCACACGGATTGTTTGCCGGTGCTCAGCTCGGGAATGAGGGAAGGACCCCTGGGTTCATTCCTTCACAGGGCTCCCCAAATTTTCCCCTCAAAACATCACCCCCATGAAGGGAAGCTCACCTTAAATGGGCCAAAAAGGTGATGTTTAAAACCACAAAAAAAGGGGAAACAAAGGACCCATGCTTCATTCCCCACTGACCACCAGCAAGATTGAGCATCTGTTCTCGACTGGGGGGGCCTTTGACAAAGGGATCCCTGGCATGTGCAAGGTTGTTGGACCCTGCTGCAATGGCTGCACTGGCACAGAAATACGCGTGGCTCGTCTTTTGTTAGGGCCTAACAAAAGACGAGCCACGCGTATTTCTGTTAGGGACCCCCCCCATTTCATGGATTTCGGCTTTATGGTTTCCCCGCCCAGAAGAGGGGACACGGTCCCCTTTTTCAATAAACAGACCGCTCCCAAGCAAACTACTGGTACAAAAGATACCCCCCACCCCCTCCACAAATAAATAAATGACAAACAAATGACAAACTACACTTAAACTACAGAAAACAAAAATATACCTGGATAATATCGCCTTCGTTTTAAAGACTCTCCTTCGTTTTTTGGGGTGTTGGACCCTATTCCGCTCCAGTACATATCCCTTGTTCCGAGCCTTTTGGTGGCAGCTCATACTGTGGATGGACGGAATCGTGCACCACTTGCAAACCATGGTTGAAACTATGGTTTATTGGTATTTGCAGGGGAGTCATAATAGGGTTTCTTGAGTGGTGCCTAAGAGGATTTCGTCCATCCACAGTATGGATACCCAACTACTTCACCAACTAAAAAGGATCTAAAAAGCAAAGGGCCACTTGATGGCTGTTTGGGCCACCAAGAAGTGGGCTCATCAACTTCAGCTTCCTCTTGGTGACGTCCCTTCCCCCGGACTCCCCCGTCCCCTCCCCCGGACTTCTAAACGAAAACCGCGGAAAGGACTGGGCGCGAGCTGCCGGGCGCCAGGTGCAGCGCCAAGGGGTCCCAGGGCAGGAAGCGCAGGCGCTCGCCGAAGGCCTGGGATGGGTGGCTGGGGTGGGGAGAGAGAGGGGATGGATGGCTGGGGATGGGGGAGGGGGATGGGTGGGGATGGGGGAGGGGGATGGGGGAGAGAGGGGATGGGGGATAGGTGGGTGGCTGGGGATGGGGATGGGGGTGGGGTTGGACTGGGGTTGGGGGTGGGGAGACAGCTCCATTTTCGTGTTTTACTTTGTGAAGAGATTAGACTCTGGCAGTTGATCAGGAAACCTAGGCTGGAGTTGCACAGAACCTGGTTTCACTCAGTTGGGCACTTCCGAGTTACAGGGAAAGCCAGCTTTTGTTTCGTGTTCGTGTCGAATTGCGTGACTTTGGAAGATCTGCGCTCCTGGCCTCAATGATTCAAGGGCTCTCACAAGATGAGTTCAGCTGACTGGCTGGCCACCCGGGCTTCTACAGTCCGGGAACAATGAGCCGGCCGGCTTCTCATTTTCATCCCGTCATCTTGCTACTGTCTCCTCCGTTTGCTTAAGTCCGCTGCACAAAAACCATCCCGTCCCTTAAAACCAACGGGGGACAACGCCAAATATTCACTTCAGCAAATGGAAGTTCTCACTTGCAGTTTGCAGTCCTGCATGCAGTGCAGGTCGCAAAGCCATGGAGTGGTGCCACCTATGTTTGTGGCACCGCTGCAGGAACCCCCCCTAAACAAGAATGGACTGCACACATGTGGTTGATCACATGGCTGATTGTGGCTGTATTGACATCCTTGGTGTGGGTGCTAAACCCCGGCCAAGAAGCAAAACATCGAGATGGGCCCTATTGAAGACCTTGTGCTTGGCACATCTGGATGGGCAACAGCTTGTGTTTGCCAGCATGGGCAAACCGCAGCACAGGATGTCAGCATGATGACCATTTTTAGGTAAACAATGGTGGTTCTACGAACCCCGTTTTTTTTTGTTTTTTTTTTGTGGTTTACACCCCAGGGTTTGCCTAATTTTACGAATCTGACCGCTGAAATACAACCATCCCTCCATCTCCCCAGGCCGCCTCGGTGAGGCTTGCCAAGGTGAGAGTATTCGCTCTGCTCAGCCGCAGGCTCAAATGCACTGGGGTCAGGAAAAGCCTCTCACACTCCTGGCAGAAAGCTGCGGCTCAACTAAGGCAGTTGCTGCTTTCACGGGGGCTGGGGGGGGGCCCTTAATAAGGCCTTATTTAGGGCTTATTTTGGGCTCCCTCTCCCTCCCTCCCTCTCTCCCCCCCAGGCCCCGTGATGTTTTCGTCTATGCATACATAACATCACATCCCATTACATTATGCTGTATTGTATTATATGGTATTATGCCAAATTACGCACATACGTGACACAACCGTCATATTCCATGCTTGCATCTGCTTTGATTGGCGGTTCCAGTTACATGTCATTGCTGGGCGTGGGCCAGCGCATCTTATTGCACATGTCTTGCGGAGGGCTCACGCTCTCGTGAGCAACTGCCAGAAGGCCTCTGCAATCCGCAGGGCTCATTTTCTAGGTCCTCCAGTAGAGAGGTAGAATAAGGGTACCCTGTTTTTTCCGTAGTCTATTTTAGTAGGGGAACCCGGGCAAAAGGGCACTACTGGGGCACCTAGCTTTGCTTTTCACATACCCTGGTTGATAGGATTGATCGCCTTTCGCCGTTCTACCTGCTCTATGTTGCTCAAATCTCTGGCGCCAGGCTGGGTCCCCATCCGGCATCTCGCTTTCAGTTCGCTCGTGACGCAAATGCAGGCCGCCTAAACTGGCCACTGACGTCTCGTTTTCGTCCAGCCCAGCGCCCCATCTCTCACCCGGGTCGCACACTTTAAGGTCTTTTGTTCGGCTGGGCTGCGGGTTTCACTGTGCGCACTTCCTCGAGCTGCTTCCCATGCTGATTTGGAGTCCTGCCATGATCCCTTTTTGCAGAACGCCCATACGCCAAGAACCCCGAGAGCCTCAAATGCCACAAATCAGCCTTTCATGGTCGACCATATCCTTTAAGTGGCTGCGGCTCAAAAACATGTACCAAAATGGCACCTTGGTATGTAGAGCCAACGGCTAACACCCGCCTTTTCCAAGCTCTTAAATTTTAAGCCACACCCCTTCCAGTCTTTCGTACTGCACCTTGCTCCCAGCAACCTAGCAGAAGCTGCGGGTTTCGCCGCTATGCGCTCCTCCCACGCGGCTCCTCCCACTCCCCGGGGGCCAGCAGGAACTGGTTGCGGTAGTACTCCCGAAATCTCAGGAGCCCCTCGCCGGCTGGGCGGACCTCCTGACGGGCGCGCGCATGCGACAAGGAGTTGACGAGAAGGTTGAACGTGGAGCCTGAGAAGGGGGGTCCTGGTAAAGGGACTAGTGTCCCTGTAAAGGGACCATTTCCCCAAGCTCAGGTTCCATGTTAATGTTGACCCCATATTGCTCAACCCCGGTTTATTAATAGGAGCCCCCAAAAGTGGTCTGATTCCGTACTAGATCCAGGGGTAACCACCCCTGGATCAATAATGAACCGGGGTTGATTAGTAGAGGGTCAACACTACACACAAGCATAGCCAGCAACACCATCACGCAAGCAGCAAACGTCGCAACCGTCATACAGGTCTTAGGGAAGCGAGCATCTCAGCTGCTTCACTTGGTTGCAAAGCCTGACTCACGGGAGCCTCGGGTGAGTAAGAAAAGTCCTCCTCTAGAAAGCCTGTGGGCAAGCTCGTTGTCACGGCTCCTTGTCGTCCTCGCAAAGCAGCATGCGGGGTCCACCTGCAACTTTGGGGACTGCGAGCACCGTACAAAGATCACTGCTACTGATGAATTGCCAAAAAGTAAAACGCGCATAGTTCAGAGCAGCGGATTCATGTGCAAGGCCTCGCGAACTCACGCCCAATTCCTGGTGTTGCCTGGTTCATTCTAAAACCCAATGCAACAAATAGTGCACATGGTACGAAGCCCTGGCTTCCATGGCAACTCAAGGTCCTTCCTCGAACGGATATCTGACTCACTTCCCATCGAGTGGAACGGCAGAAACAAGATGAAACAAGTCCAAACTCTTTGTTTGCCACTGACATTATCCAAGCCCCACAGTTGTGCTAAAGTCCAGAAACTCAGGAAGTGAGCGAAAGCTTGCTTTCGGACGTCGGCCGCCCAGGCCGCATGCCCGGCTTCCCCAAACCGCGCCAAACCGCGCCAAAGCGCGCCTCGCTTGGTGCCGCGCTGAGGCAGCTCGAGGCATCGATTCGCGCGGAGCGTCACGACCTCGCCCTCCTGAAGAACTCGGCGCCCGGGGGCCGGCAGACCGTCCACCAGGACCTGCCAAGTGTTCGCTTCTCGGCAGACCCGTTGTCAGATCCGCGAAACGTGTGACCGAACTTTTGGTGGGTGAAATATGGAAACCCAACGAAGCTCTTTGCGGATCCCTCGCGAAGAGTGAAGAACTCGTGGATTAAATATGGATACCCAACTACTAAACCAACTAAACAGATCTAAACCAGCAGGTAAGCACCAATTTTATCACTAGAAACCAACCAAGGTCCAACACCATCCCCATCCAACTGCAAAACCGACAGGGGCCCACCCGATATCCTGGTGATACTGTAAGTGACTCAATGTGGAGATTGCCCGTTTGATGACAGCTTGCAGGAATCCCAGCATCTCATGGTCAGGCACCAGTCACATTGTTTTTTTTCCGAATTTCCCAAAGGAGCTACACAGTGGTGGTCACAAAGCACAAACACAAACTGACTCCAGCCTTCTGACTTGGTTTGCCAGTGCTGGGGGGAGCTGAGCGATTTTCGAAGCAGGCTGCATCCACATGCTTGGTGCACGGTGACAAGCCACAATTTGTGCACCCAAATCACCCCTCTTTAATACCAACCATGGCTTTCGTGCCAACATGGGTGTGGCTCAAAACTAAAGAGCTGGGGTTACGCAGGTGTTGGCCTTTGTTTCCAAGGGGCCAAACAAAAATTGGTCAGCCACTTCTTTGAGCCAACTCACAGAACTTACAGGGAGTTCCTTGAAGAAACCCATCTTCCGGGTACCCTTCCATGCTATCCTTGTTGGACTAAGGCTACCATGGCAGGAAACGCCAACATGCCATCCCCCCTACCTTAGGGGGGAGGGGGGTGGGGGGTCCCACAATTCCATTTGTTCAGTCTTCCAACCACAAAAGGGAAAACGGAACCCTAAATGAAATTCCAGGCGCCTGGCCCTTCTGGCAGGCCAGCGCGGCCGCCTGCCGCACATTCACGTGCAGCGCATCCTCCTGACCGTCAGAGACGGCCTCTGGGGGCCCGAGCCACTGTCTCTTCATGTCTCTTCTGTTCCTGCTTTTTTTCAAAGAAGACAAAGGGGATAGGTCTTGGCTGGTGCTTTTTCAAGGGAAACGTCAAGCTGACCGAGGGGCCACAATGTTCGCTTCCCGAAAAATGACAAACATCTGTCTCTTGTGTACCTGTTGTTCTTTGTGCTGTTAAGGGAAAATCGGGGGGATGGGCCACGAGCTGCTCCTTCAGGGCTTCCCATATTTCCCCTTTGAAACATCACCACTCATCTTTCATGGCCCAAAATGGTGATCTTTAAAACCAAACATAAAACAAAAAAAGGGGGAGAAACCCAACGGAATCGACCGACCCCTGTCCCTAATTACACCCTACGAATCCATCGACTCGGACTGGACGGCCAGCGCCCCCAATACTCAGTTGTTCAGTGACCCTGGGAAAAAGGGAACCCTTTTTGTGGAAGACTATTCTTAGTGGGGCAGCCACCCACAAAACAAAGGGAAAAAGAATTGGTGCCACTGAACAACTCGGTCCTCCAGTAGAGAGCTTACAATAAGGGTACCATATCCTTTTCTGTAGTCTATTTTAGCAGGGGAACCCTACCAAGCAACAGAGGAACGGTAAAAGCGCGCGATCCTGGGGGACCTAGACTGAGAATCGCCGTAGAGCTTCGACGTCCTGGCGGCCCAGCTGCTCCCGGAAGCTCCGGGCCACGAACTGCTGCAGCCGCTGGCCCGAGGCCGTGGGGCCCGCCACCACGCAGGCGCCTTGACTCGCCGAATCAAAAGCCACGCCACACTCATCCGATGCTGCCCGAAAAAAAACATGATGTTGGGTGTTTTTTGTTGAAAACAATGGGATTCCGGTGTCTCTTTTTTAGGGTCTCTCTTTTTGGGGGGCTTGAGGCCCCTGGAATGATAAACAGATCTTTCCACAGCAGGTCGTGTGGCTTGGAATCAAGCCGGGCTCCTAGCGTGGCGTAATATACTGCGGAAAGGCTTGACAGCACAAGGTAATGCCGATGCGAACCAAGATGCCATCTGGCGTCTCGTACTCCATGACAGTCTGTTCGGCACGACGCCCATGGGATGCACAAGCAACATGGCGATCACATGTTGCACTATGCTTGCATTGCGCTTCCCGTGTGGCAGTCATATCTCAGGTTGAGGCACAATCTTTCTATGATCTGCTTTGCTTGTTTGTACTTCTTTGCCTCCAAGTGCAAAGCCAGCTCCCAGCTAGACGTGTCAGAGGGCTTCATTGTGCATTTGCCCGACTGGTTGCCACCCTCAACATCAAACCATTTGAACATATAAGCTCATCCAACTGAAGTCGAACAAGGAAGCCAACTTCTCCAATGCTCCTTTGCATTCGGCTGGCTGCGCCAACGAGTTCGCAGTGGCACGTATGTTCGGATCAGGTGTGCCTGGGCCTGGCACTGCCCTGGCTCTTGAAGCTCGCGGCATATGCACGATTGAGCAGCAGGGGATCATATTTCCACCTGAAGTGCTCTGCTTGGGGTTTGGTGCTGCTGTGTTACATACAAGGCAACAGCCCCCTTGGCAGGCTAACATGGCCTGACATGCGGCAGGAAGTTCGGAGCTTGGCCCGGCCAGCCGGCCAGCCGTAGCCATGGCTGTGTTTCAAACACAGGGACCTTTTTGGCGATGGCAAAAACAAAGAATCCAACATGAACCAATTGCGTGGAGCAGTCACTAGTTACGACTCACATCTATGCGCCTCTTTTTGGTTTGGATCGGCGGCAAGGCATATCCCGTGGTTCAAAACATTCTGATGAATACAATTGCGAATACGTACGTATAGGCGTATGGCAAATCTTTCGCCATTTGAATTCACATCCCTCAGTGTTCTCCTTTTGGGGCAAACTTCCACTCCGCTGTATGAACACGATCTTGATGGAACATGACAGAACTGTATATATGGAAAACATGCACCTTCAATTTGGCTAGGTCAATCGTGCAAAAGCTGCCAAAACCAGTAAACAACTGGTATTCAAGGTGCCTACCAAGCACCATGTGGGTGTGTCTATTTTAAGGTTGGAGTGACCAAAATGGATTTCGGTCTTCCTTTTGGCTTTTTTTGTAAACACAAAAAACGGCGGTACCTCCCAAAAAAGGGGCTGCCCCTCCCCCAAAAAAAAACAAGAAAATAAAAAAGATAAACAACACAAAACAACAAACAATCACCATGTAAAGAACAAAGCGCTTGCCACACCTTTCGCTCGGGACTGGCAGGCTCTCAGGAGCGGGCCCCACTGCGGATGCTCCGCTCCAGCACCGGCACCTCTCTGCAGAAACTTTTCTTCATGTTGCTTGGTTGGCAACGCGCCATGGTGATTCAGTTGTTTCAGAACTCCTCCCCGCCCCCATTTTCAGATGCCCCCCCCCCCCCCTTTCGGGGGCGGAAAGAGGGGTGGGGCTTCCCTAACCAGAACTCCCATCGGCTCCGAAAGGCTCCCGCGCGGCTCCGGAACGGCGCCCTTCCAACCACTAGCCAGTGGTTGAAGGGATCAATTTCCTTCCAAATGGCCACGGGGCTTCAGTCGCTTCCAATTGCCCCGGGCTGGTGACCTTTTCTGTAGGTCTTTGTTGGAGTTGGTTTCGTTCCAGAATCGAAGCTAGCGCTGTGCTGTCGGCACCAGACGCCTTCGCTCCAAAAATGAAGTTCCATAGTCCCAGGTCTCGTTCTCCTTTGAATGCTTGGGTTGGCTAGTTCCCAATCTATTGCGGTGTGGTTTCTTTAACTGCTTTCCTAAGGCTGCTGGGCTGTTTGGGTTTTGGCTGCTCAAGTGTGGTCAACAACTGTGCTCAAGAGAACCAGCCGTCGGGCCAATTGGCGTTGTCGCATTTCCAAACGCAGCCAACCAAGCCCCAGATATCATTGAAGGTGCAGCCAGGCCACAGAACTCTCCGTCTTGCCCTTGCCGAAAAGCAGGAAGTACACCTGGCATGCGCATTCGCCTCGCAAAACATGGGGCTGAGGGCCGAGAACTCAGAATCAAACAATTCCCATGAGCTTGCCATGGTCAAACGGGAGGGGGTGGGTACTTAGCCGAGACTCTGAGGGTCATGTAGACCACCCCAGGGCCATGACTTGATTGAGATTTGGCAGAAAGGGCAGCTCTGCATGCAGCAAGAATGGACCCTCAACCGTCCTGAGCTTCAACCCGACAACAATTTGTACCACATGACAACCCACAAAAGCATCATGCCATCAGCAAGTAGCTGAGGTTCGAGGGAAGAAGCTGACTGTTCAACCAACATGCCTTGGTGCGTCAACAGCCAGTGTCACATATATATATATATATAATGCACACATGCATTAAATACAGGCCCCGCCCAACATTTTCCCACGATTCCCAAAACAGATGCCCGCACCTGGCAACCGAACGTCCACAGCATCATGGCGACCTGAGGTCAATACCAAGCCAGGGCCTTCGTAGGGTTTGCAGCGTCGCGTTTTTTGCCGCTGCGCCACAAACGCCAACGTCTCTTCTGCAACTCGTCTCCCTTCTCTCTGCAGGCATACGTCCCAACCAGGGGGCCAACAAAACTTTGCTGTCCTCAGATCCCCTGCCAAAAGTTTGGCTTTTTGTGGGTTCAATGGACACCCCAGCTAAACCCTAACAAGCTAACAGGCTCTTTGGCCGGATGGCTAGCCACCAAACACAGAAGCACTAGCCGCCCTGACCCATGAGCCAGCACCCACGGGCTCCCGGCGAAGGTGGAGCCAGCCTGGATTGCCGTCAATGCCATTGGAGCAGCCGTCAGGGTTGACCTGGGCCCGTGGCATCCAAGCTGGAGTTCGAGAGATTTTGCTTCAGCGTGATGTACCCTCCAGACCCCCCCGGAAAGACGAGTATTTTTTCTTGGAACATTGGAAAAGGGCTTTGCGCACTTCCATGTGAGTTGGTGGGAGGGTATAGGGTCGAAACTTGCACAACAAATGCATCGCCTTGGCGTGGGTGCATAAAGAGCAACCTGATCACCAACAGCTTCTGTCAAGCAGTGGCAGCAAAAACTTCAAACACATGCTGCACTCACACATGTACGTGTTTCGAGTGAACCCTATGTGCACAAAATCGTTGCACCCAGATGAAAAACAAGCACGGGACAAGCAATCATTCAAGGAAAGAGCCAAGCTTTCCTGCAGCATCGGTGCTTGCCTCTGCCAAGCATCTGGCAGCGACTGGTTCACCAAATCCAAGCCCACAGTGAATGAACCTAAGCGCCATGCCAAAAAATGGCCTGGAAGGGCCGCAGGGAAGTCAAGCATGCAAGCAAGCGAACAGGCAGTTGCATGCAGTTGCTCAAGGAGGCAAAAACAACTGCAAACCAAACCAAAACAAAACAGGCAGACAAATAACCAGACATCAGACAGACAAACAGGCAGACAAACAAACAAGCAGGCAAACACACAAACAACCAAACCTACCAAGCAAATGGCCAAACACGAACTTGCACGCAATTCGCGATGCGCCTGCAAGCAAATGCGCACGTGCAAGCATCTGTGCAGTAAGCTTGTGCAAGCGTGAGCGCACACATGCGCAAGACAATGAGCATGCAAGCGAATTGTCCTATTTAATGCAGCTTGTCAGATAACGGCAAAAAGGTGCAGACAACACACACATGTGCACAAATCCACGCACCCAAAACAAAACAAGCACATACACACGGTCATGCACATGCCAGCAAACACAGAAACATGCAAACACCCAACATCCAAACTACCAAACAAACAAATATACATTACACTACACAAATACACACATACACAACTACACAACACACTACACACACACACACACGAAAGCAACCGCACACTTACACATATATAACGCTCACACCTCGCGCGCACGCGTGCGTACACGCGCATGCCCACAGCATGCAAACTTCGCCACTCGTGAAACAAACACTGTGCAGTTCGGGAAGACTGCAATTGCAGCTGGCTCTTGTGCACTCCCATAATCATCATTCCGCACACAGTTCGGTCTGGCTCAGCACGCAGTCACTGAGCAGGGTGCAAAGAGTAAAGGGCACCATGATCAGGTAGTGGCTCTCCTTGTAACCTTTGCGCACCGCGCAGGCAAGCACACGGCACCAATGAATTGGGGGGAGCCACCAGCAGGTCGAAGACACCCCCTGTTCAGGGTCTTTTTCCTGGGATCTTCGATCAACGCTTCACGCACCACTTGAGGATGGCCTCTTGAGCCCCCAGTTTGAGTGTGGCTGCGGCATTGCAGCGAAACTTGACCTCTGAAATCTGGCATTTCAACTGCCAACCATGGCATCTTTTGCTTGGCCAATCTCAACCAAATCAACTTGAATGAATTGACCCCACCCCCCAAAACAAGGATGGCCTGAACTCCCCCCGCACCCCCCCCACAAAAAAGAAGAAGAAGAAGAAAGAGATGCAATATTTTCTCCAGGCACCATCTGTACGGCCATCCGAACGCCAGTGCCCCAGTGCCCCGGTGCCCCGGGCCCGGGGCCCCTGGCCGTAGTGCACAAAATAGGCCCAGGACATTGCCAATGGCACAAACCTCGGAGCGCAGTCGTTGCAAGTCGTGGTTCTTGGTTTCCAAGAAGAGTGGTTTCCCCATCTTGACCCTTGAAATTCGCTTGAAGCATGCCCATCCAGCTATGACTTCTTCCCCCCGCCGCCCAAAATTTTCCTGCGGTCCTGGCAGCAGAAGATACACCGACACGATGATCTCCGGTGTGGCCTCGCATGTGCCAACAAAGGCCTGGCCAAAAAAAAGGTCGGCTTTCCACCGGCTTCCAGGCCCCCAAAGCAGAAAGCAGGCGTCGCTTTTTGTAGGAAACGGGGGGAGGGGCTTTAGAGTTGAACTCCTATCAGGCTTTGCATGCAAGTCAAAGAGGGCCTGCCACCATCGTGCCATTTGCCACAGCTAGCACTCAGGCCGTGCTTGAACAAGCTTGCGCATTTTGACCGCAAGCCCCTCCACTCCATAACTCCATCCCTTCCTGCGTTTTCGCACAGAGGGTCCTTCATTTTCCTGGCCCTCAATCGCCACCCTTAGAAGGGGAACCAAGCCACCTGGCGTCGCATCGCCCAAGACTCGCGCAATTTCAATGTCCACGGCCGTGGCAAAGGTGTTGTGAGGCTGCACGGGCACCATGCGAGTCCGGACCTTGCCATGGGAGGACTTCTTGTTGGCACGGCAGCCAATCCCGGCAATGCAACATCCAGTTGTTAGTTGTTGAGCCTTTGAACCAGCCATCCCAGGAGCAAAAGGGACAAGACACAGAAGGCACGCCTGAGGTTCTCAAGTTGTGCATGGCTGCGGTGCGCAAAATGTGATTGGGAATGCTTTGCGGCTTTGCGTGTGTCTGAGGCTGGCTCTCAAGAGTTACCCGAATAGTGTTGTGTTCTCAGGGAATCCCAGTTTTCGTGGCATCCGTTAAACCTGACTACTGGCACCAGACGTGACAATTAGGGATGGAAGCCCAGCGCTGCAAATCACTATCATCCCAAGTATTGAGAGTTCCCAGCCCACCCCACACGCAGTTCTCAATGCGGCCACCTCCACCGATTATGGGCAAAATCGTGACGACTGATCGAACCACGCAAGTGTTCAAAGCGTTCGTGAAGCCCCACCGGCCTTAGCAAACGGCGAATAGACGTCGGACACATTGGCGCCCCTCAGAGTGACGGATTCACGAATGGAGATGGAGCTGACGACAGCGAACTCACGCTTGCATGTAGCTATAAGCTTTGAGGCGCTCTGCATCTTACCGAGACCCACCTTCAATAAGTCCACATAGAACCATAAGCCTTGAAAGCCGGCGCCGCACGACTGAGGGCAAGGCTTCAGGATGGTGGGAAAGTCATGCTTGAAATCACTGATCCTGGCGGTTCAAGGGCAGTCCTAACATCTGAAAGTAGTAGCAGCACGGTTCTGGAACAAATCAACCAAGGAGGATTACAATCATTGACCGGCCTAGAATACGGAAAACCACTTCCCAAGGCTCTTTGTAAAGCTAAAGGGGCCCATGTAAGATGCTTCATCATGGCGAGGACGTATCCTCAGGCCAGACCAACCCAATCAGAAGCATTCGAATGGGTCATGGGCCAGGTTGCTTTGCTGCAAACAACTCAGGTTGAGGCAAAGCAAGCAGAAACATGTTCAACGCAGGGGCAAGGTGTGTACTCAGTAGATGCACGAGCGCGCACACACACACACACACATATGCACACACACACATAGACATGTATATATATATATACACATACGAAATAGAACTAATAAGACACACGGCTCTTGCGGCCCCTGCGCGTTCCCGCACAAGGGCATGTGTTGAACTAGCCAGGAACCAAAAACAAAAACCAAGGGATTTGTTTTCTCCCGGCCATCTGAGGCTTCGCCCTCTGTGCGCCCAAGTGATCGACTGGACCCAAGGGCCCGGCAGCTGACTGAGCTCCGGAAACTCCAGGAAGCCAGTCCCCGTCGTTCGTCGCTGAGCCTCACGTCGACGGAAGGGACACGAATTCATCAACCCCTGGCAAGTGGGAGGACCATGCAGCCAACCCAAAGTCACTGCTCCAGCCATTGAAGTTGAACGCTTTGTTGCGGAAGTGCGTGCTGAAAGGGGTGGTCCCGAATCATTGGCCTTCCGCAAAGACGGTTGGCTTGTGTTGCAACTCTCCTCCTGCAAGCCACTTGTCACACTCCTCGTAAATGGCCGCACGCGCGCAATCTCCCGGCAACTTCTTTTGCACTTCTAAAGCAGGTGCGCGGTTTTCTGGAGTCTTGCTACATCAGTCCTGGCACCCATGAGCAAAGTGTTTCCATGCCTCAAGAAAATTTGACTGCGGAGAAGTTGTGTCCAGTGACCAGGGCCTGGGGCTTGCACCTCCACGGTCAGAACTTTCCCCGAAAAGTTGGTGAAAGCATCCGCCGGTGCCTGGGACAGCATCCCGAACCTCCCCCCCCCCTCCGACCCCGCCTTCCCCCCTCCCCCACAAAAACCCGGGGCGGCTTGACGGCCATCTTGGGGGGCGGCTGGTTACTGGCTGTTACCGTAGACTCGTAGACTCGTAGACTATCATTGGCTGGACTGTCAAAATATTCTCCTGGTGGACGGTTGTCAGCATAAAAGCACAGCTGCGACAAGCGAGAAGGCGCTCAGCTTTCCTCATTGAATGTGGGAGCGAGTGCCCCTTCTGCAATCTGCAATTCAAACCAGCCCCCCCAAAGGCAACAGCCGCTCAACAGCCAGTTCCACATCTTCCAGCGCAAGCACTCGCTGCCAAGCTTCGACTAACGTTGGTGTCAAGAAGCGCTTCAGAATTGTCCCCCATGGAACAGCTGAGCAGAAACCATGGCATCCTGCCAGCTGTTTTGGGCCTCTCCATGCAATTTCGACCCGTCCCCTGTTCCCCCACAAAATAAGTTGGCACCAGGCTTGCATTGTCCAATTTGGAGGGATCACACTAAACTGACCTGCTTGGACCATAGGGAGGGACATTTAAAGGACCCTGACTGAGGTCTTGACATCGCCGCCCTCCTGAGGCTGAGAGAACACTGGGACAAACTGAGGCCCCACAAATCGACTCGAAGAAAGGAGGCACTGTTCAAAAGCCCCATGCCTCATTCAGCAACAGTGCGGGAGTGAGCCATTCATTGGACTCACTCGCTTCTGGAATAGATGCGAATTACCAGGTATAACTGAAAGTCGGAACCTTTTGTTTTCCACTAAAATGGTCTTTGCAACAAGGATAGAGTCCAAGAACTCAGGGAGTGAGTTGCTCTCTATGCGAAGTCTGTCTTTTTATTCATGATGCACAGAGGCCCATTGCAAAATCCAAGCTTTCTTTCATCTCCTGGATTCCAGGCTCACCCTTGTAGGTGACTGTCGCTTGCCTGGCAACGGAGGCCCTGAAAGCAACACTCGCAAGCAGAAACAAGGGATCCGGCAGAGAACCACCAAGGTGCATCAGGCCAGTTTGCCCAAGCAAGTTGCAGTACCCTTTACCTACTTGGTGGCCATTGAAAAAAAATGGAGACTGGCCGCTTTGATTGAAGGGGCAATTCCGACCCCGAACAAAAACAAAAACACATGCACGGAAGCAACAAAACACGAGCGTCACTTGACACAAGTGGGGGGGCCAAAGAAGAAATCAACTCTTCACATGTCATGCACCTCTGGTACCAAGGATTGCGCTACCAGTTTTGCAAGGAGCAGCCATTGAACGGAGGATCAGTGTCATGTCCGATGATTTTGAACCTCTCCAACAAGAAGAACATGTCTTGAAACAAACTGACATGTCTCCGAATAAACAACACAACCCTCCTCACAACAAAGTGGCAACGCAAAAAGAGAGCTGTCCATCTCAAATTTGTGCAAGCCTTCTGTTTGGAGAATCGGTCTGCTGAAACTTGCTTATTTGAATCCGGAACTGCCTTGCTGAAAAATGAAGCCTCTCTGTAGCCAGCTTTCAAGAATCTGGACATCACACCACTCCCAAACTTAGATGTCTTAACATAGTTGCATGGCAAACGGGACTGTCTCACAAGGGAGCAGCACTTGCAGACCAACGCGTGCACATGTAGCATTTAAGGCGGCCTCTGAAGAACAAAGCAAAACTACCTTCTGAACAGGTCACGGTCTACAAGGCGCCAAGTAGTAGTCAATTTGCAAACCCAAACCCAGTACCACTCGATCACATGTGAGCTCGACTTTAGAAGGAATGAAAGCAACAGTCGAATGGAGCTTCAAACTCAATGCCAAGTGGAACTGGCCTCGGCAAAGCTAACCAACTCTAAACCGCTTGATTGGGCAGATGCTAGATGATTTGAGGCTGGTTGATAGGGGAGGGGCGTCTGAGAACGCAAAGGTGGACATAATTATTTGCCGCCTTTCGTTGACAAATCCATCAGCAGAGAGCCCCGCACTTTGAGTGCGGTTGCTCCAGGGAAGGTTCTCGCGGCAACCAGAAACCAGACAGAGCAGCTGGCAGAGCTGAGGCCCGAGCAAAGCGTGGGCTCTGAAGGGTGTCAGAGCCACCAGGCCTTGCCAAGTGCATCGCAGCCCAGCCTAGGAGCCCTGGGGGTGGGAGGGGGGCGGAGGGGCCCTGGGGGTGGGGGGTGGGGATGTGCATAGCCTGGCACTTGGCTCATGGGGTGACTCCAACTGATCCTTGCAGGGGGCTGGAGGACTCCAATTCTCCTTGCAGGATGGTTTCAACACGGCCTCGATGCATACAGGTTTTGAATCGCAACTTGAATAAGCTCGCGCCAGAGGATTCATTTGGTGCTTCAGGCCCTTCAGGCCTTTGCGTGTTTTGATATGTGGATGCATCCTTGATCTTCATGTTTCAAAGACCTTGGGCTTGCGAGGTCTTTGTATTTTCGCGAATGGGTCAATTTGTTTCGGTCAAGAGGGGCACCCAATGCCGCAAATTCCAACCAAAGGGCAAGGCGCGCATGACGCCTGCAAAGTGGATGGGTGTCTGTGCTGACTTCTCTATCCTGAGCTGCCATGGAAGCTTATCCAACATACTGGCCATATATCCGAGTCGCCCGGTAGGTGGGCAACGAATTCATCACATCCTGGGGTCTTATAGACTCATAGAACCGCAGTACAGCATGTACCCCGTGCTGCAACGCCGCAGCGCGAATCTCAAGTTGCAATGCCGGTAACGACATGGCCCGCAGCAATTCTGGAAGTTTGCGTACTCATGAAAACATGTTTACCGCTTGGTTTCTGTAGCGTGGGAATGTTATCCTTGTATCACCGAGCAAGGCGCGGCCTCAACAATTCTTGGTCGCCAACTTTATCACACCAAACTGCCAAGGTAACAGCCGCCAAAGCAAAGGATGTTTCCATGGCACCTCACCACCATAAAAGCGGCTTTGATTTTGATACCATGTCGCTTGACCCTTCAAATGCAAGAACGGTAATTGTCAAGTTTCTATATCTGGCCTTTCCAAACCCAGCTGCAACCAGAGCCCGATCTTGGGGCCCTGGCACAGGCTCAGGAATGGCCTTGCGAGGACATGTGAAAGAGTGGAGAACTCGGAGCTTACCTCTTGAGGCTTTCATACTCGGAGTCAATGTGGAGTTGTGCAAGCAAGCGCGCATGTTGCTTCAGCAGAATTTGGTAAGACTTGACTATGCGATTCTCAGCTGGGATGTGGGCAGCTGACTTGCCCTTGATTCAGCATCCCAAACCCACAACTCCTCCAAAAACCGGGCGAGATGGGCACCCTGCCGGGGCCACACAAACATACTCCTTGCCTACTTTTACCCCAGGCTGCCTACCATTAGGAAGCAAACACATCGAGTTGGGCGGCTCCCCACATGCGGTTTGACTAAAACCTCGCCGTTGGCTGAGTGAAGCGACCTCGCCGTTGAAGAGCTACCACGATGTTCTGAATAGTTTGGCTCCAAGATGTGCGTTGCATCGCCAGCCGGCCCTTTGACAAACATTTGACTCATTTTATCTCCTGGCTTGCCGTGGCTTCAACATAAAACCACAAACTCCAAAAACAACACTCATATGGTGTCCTTTTTTGAGGGAGCCCCTTTTTGGCTGGCCTACGGGAACCAGAAGGGAAGCCTAGACGCGACGTCGTGATCAATCACGTTGGGGCCATGCCTCTGGCCACGCTGATCAAATCCGCCCTCGGCAAACAGCGATTCGGACAGGCAATTTGTGCCAGTGCTCCCTGAAAAACAAATCCTGGCCATTTTTTTTAGAAATCATAGGCCCGGCAACACAGCTACCCAATATGTGATTCTCAGAGAAAAACACCTGGCCAACTCATAAATCATAGGCGCAGTAGCCTCCCCCAGGCACCACCATGGAAGCTTCAAAGGGAGTTTCCCTTCAAGGAAAGGCTGGATTCCATTTAGAAAGGCCGTTTACAGGCTTCCGGCTGTTCGCCTGGAGTGTGAAGTAATTTCGGAATATGGCATCTTGAGAGTGACGGAATGCGCTCTTTGTGGGAAGCTGTCACGGAGAGCCTTTGGACAAGGCAGTTGCACTGCAGTTGTCAGGGGAAGCACTTCAAAGAAACAGGGCCAACCTCTGGCAAGTTGTTGGCTGATCCTAGTTGTGTTCCACGTGAAACCCGAGTGTTTGCTAACGCCACGCTGAACAATGGCTCGCAGTGCTGCATGGAAAGCACGACCAGTTTTCACGACTTCCGACTTGCGAAGAAGTGAGAAATGACGACGTGGCTGCACCGCTCTGAGGCAAGCACGCGGCATTTCATACGCAAGTGGGGAAAGGTTGACAACCCCCGGTTCGATATCGAAAGGCTGCAGGCCAGCAGGGAGCAACTGCAAGCAGGACCCAGCTGCCCTACCTGGAAGCAAAACAACCTTGGGTTGACCGTTTTTCGTTGGGCGCCCTCTAAAAAACACGGAAAAAGACAGTTGCCCTGTGAACAATGCCATGTTGGGTTGAACATGGTTGAACTTTTTGCGTTGGGGACTCAACAACCAGGGAAAAAGAAATGGTGCCACTGAACAACTGGCAGGATTAAGAGCAGGTCTTGCTGGAGTGCCACAAGAATCACATTCTTTCCTGGGCACGACCGTTTTCGGGGTGGTGAAACCATTGCAAAGCGCTTGGCTCGAACTGCCTGCTTGTTGCAAGTCGTCTCGATGTGAAGCATCTCTCAGGTTGTTGTTAATTTAGCTTCCTGAGCAAATCCGGCTGATTACACAACGATAGCCGGTCCCAATGCTTGACTTCTGGCGCAAGCCGGGTGAAACAGTGAGACACATGGGCAGGAACCCTTGACATGCATCGCTGCCAATCAAATCTCTTCGTCAAGCTCAGCAAACGCATCGTCCTCCGTCCTGGCAGTTGCCCTACCCCTAGGGATCAAGGGATAGAGCAAAAATGATCCCAGCCCACAGAGAGAACCCCTGGACAAAACAACTAAACAGGTCGCACATACTCCGACAAGACTATGGAGTATCACAAAGGAAAATACGTTTCTCTCAATTCAACTATCACACAACATGCAGCCAAACTTGGCGAATCACGGAGCCCCCACTTTGCACAATATGACCATGCTAACCTGACACATGGCTAGCGAAAAGGCTGCTCCCGAAAATGAATTGCCCCAGCATCAAGGAACTGTTTCACGATTCCCGATGTACCGACCAACATGCATGGATGATGTTGCTGGCAAGAATGGGTCGAAACACATGAGTTCGAACTGGGCCTGAAGAAAAAGCCGGTGTCTCCAGCTTTGATTTAGTCTTGGTGTGACCAACCTTCTCAAATCAAAGCTGTCAGCAATCACTCATGCGCGTAACATCAATGCAACACATCATAGGGCTACAAGTTGATGATGCCGAAGCATTGCCATGTTCTTCGATCAAATTGACTGGGTTCTCTCCAGTGCTTCTTGAACAGCACATGTTGGGTCCACTTGGTCCAGCGTGCAGCGGTTCTTGGGCCCATCCCAACTTGCCAAAAGCACGGGTGAATGGCTTAGCTTCAGTTGCCAAAGCCAACGCGCACCCCCCCAAAAAAAACAGAAGCACCAAACACCAAAGAATCACCAACAATAACACACATGAGCAAGAAACAATCGCAAAGAACAATAAATCACATGGGTATTTTTCCTTTTTTAGGGTCCCCCCCCACCAAAAAAAACAAACAAACAAAACACATTTTTGGTGAGTTCCCCTTCTCCTTCCTTTTAAACCAACCCCGCACAGGGGCCTCAAAAAAAACAAAAACGACACACCACCTCCACGCAAAGGGATAGCTGGCCGAGGGCTGGGCATCTCCATGGCGGGGGAGGGCAGCTCCGCTTCCTCGCGGTCTACCAGGCCCATGAAGGCCTCGGAAACGAAACGAAAGGCACGGCACGCATTCCCCCTGCCTTCAGGCGGAGGCGGGTGGGGGGATCCAACTCCATTGATTCATCCCCCACAAAAGGGAAAATGGAACCTTAAATGGAATCCCAGGGGTAGGGGGAGGGGGTGGGTCCCGCAACTCCATTTCTTCAGTCCAACCACAAAAGGGAAAATGGCTCACCCTAAATGGAGATCTCCAGGGGTCGAAATCCCCCCTCCCCCAATTCCATTTCGAAGGGGGTGGGGATGGCACGTCTCTGAGGCAAAACAAAAACGCGTTGAAGCCGTAGCCAGACGGTCCCTTGCTACCTAGAGTGACGGCTTTTGGGAGGTACAAAAAATTCTAAGTACCACCTCAAAAGGTACTTGGACACTCTAGGGTAGGGGAAATGCAAATCAAATGGTTGGCTCGGTACCTTGGATTCGTTGGATGATTTTGAAAGGGAAACCCAAAAGGGCTTAACCAAGATCCATTTTTGGGATCCCGGCTTTTTTGGCGTGGGGACCTTTTTGTAGTTTGAAAGGGAATGCTGGACAACCGCAAAAAGCCATTTGGGGGGTCCAACCTTAAAAAAGACACACTAGCCATACGCGGGGCGTTGCAAAGCGAGCTCCGAAGTTGTTTCCTCAAAGAACTCCCCGGGATTGCGTTGTTGGCTGTCTCCCTGCCAGCGGAGCTCATCTTCAAATATGCTGCCCTCAACATACAAGCAACATTGGACCCTCCTGAGCCCCACAGCACGGCTCAACCACTAGTCGCAAAGCCAAAAGCAGTTCCTTCCTGACTCCCAAGCTCAGGGTGGCTGATAGTGGGGGATCCCTTATCCTAGTGCGACACCACTGCAGCAACGGAAACCACTACCACCGGGCATTAAACATATGAGGATTGATGTGCAACCCAGAAACTTAGCTTCAAGTCTAACCGCAGCGATTCATTTGCTGGCTTTCGATTTTATTTCTTGCCCCTGCCATGAAATCGATGGAGCCTTGGGTTATCCGTTGGGAAGTCCGGGGCTGCTGCCAGCATGGTCTGCACGTAAGCAGGAATGGCCTCGTGCATCGGACGGCTCTCGATCCGTGCGCATTTCGATTCTGACCCTGCTGAAAATATGAATTCAGAACTTCGAAACCACTGTTTGTGCTGCTGTGCCTATTCGGGTGTCTTTTTTGGGGGAACCTCCTGGTGCGGTGACACTAGCTGGCTGTCGATTCCATCCATTCCCAGAGCTGCGCTTGGTGCGGGCGTGTGCACGTTTATGGCGCGCAAGCTGAGCCAGAGCCCTGCAATCTGCGAATTCCACAAGAAATCAACCCCCCAGGCCGGAAGCAAGATCATAGAGCAAGGCATCATAGATGGCATCAAGTGGAGGCCCCGTTTTTTCCACGGCGCTCGTTTCTTGCGCTCCGAGCGCGCACCCAGAACCGACCACTGCCGCCTTCTCCAGGGGCGTGTCTGCCACCGCCAGGCTGCGGCAGGACTCCATGAGCACCTGGCAGCGGGGAAAAAAAAACCAAAAAACTCCACGCGCCTGCACCTGGGTGTGCCACACAAGTAGGAGAGCCCCGAATTTGGGTATGGCTCCAAATTAAAAGAGCTAGGGTTACGCAGGAACCAGGTTTTACGCTTTGGTTCCATTTGCCAAGGTGCCATTGTGGTACCACTTTTTTGAACCACAGCCATTTGGTGATGTTCCTTTTGATTTCCCTTTAATCTCATTAAAAAGGGGCACACCCTCTTGTGAATAGTGCATTGTGTAAAACCCTGCTGGCTTGTGCCGTGTTACGAAACGCCCATGCGTTCAAATGTGGCGTGAAGAGTCGCTTGCAGTATCTTGCGGTCCTGCAAACACTTTACAACAGTCCCAACCAAGCACAAGTCTAACAAATCACAAGCACTAGCCTGTCAACAATTCATATCAAGCTGCTCTACGTAGCGGGCCACTCTGAAGCCGAAAACGCTGGCCAGTTTGGCACGCCCCAAAGTTGACTAGCTTTCCAAGAAGCAAGGCAAGGGCTTATGTCTAAGTTGCCCATGGCTCTTGACGGCTGACATCCAGCTGACCGCGCCTCAAAGAACTCCCAGAAAAGCAAGGCGCGCTGATCTGGTTCCTCCGGGTGGTTGGCCATGATCTTGCTAACCTCGGCTTCTCTGCCCAAATGACCCGGACATAACATGCTGACCTTTGGGACCTGCACTAAAACTGAACCAACAAGGAACACCAACAAAATACAAGGTTGGCTTTGATCAACTGAGTGAGGCTTCACCCTGTGCAAGGCGAAGAGAAAGGGGCCATGTGCTCGGCTGAGAGGTGCTGGGGTCATATCGATGTGCTACCCTGGGCCATGGGCCAAAAGAGTAGCAAAAACAAACGAGACTATTTCAACGGAACCAGCACCGCCAAGGGGATGCATTATCAAGCCAACTGAACAAAACCAACCGCATCACAAACAACTGAAACCACTAAGCAAAGCGAATCGGGCTGGACTAGCACCATCATCGTCATGTGAGCTCACAGGCAGGCAGCAGTCGTGACATCAATGCCGCCTTATCCATTAGGCGACAGGTCCACTCAATCTCCACTTACAGTTGTACCCGCACAAAATGTGTTTGTTTGTCTTTTTGTTTGTTTGTTTGTTTGTTTGTTTGTTTGCGTGTTTGTTTGTTTGTTTGCTTGTTTGTTTGCTTGTTTGTTTGTTTGTTTGTTTGTTTGTTTGCGTGGGTCTTACCCAAGGCCAGGCACGACGGCAGGCGTGGGTCTTGCCCAAGGCCAGGCACGACTAGCAGACAAATTATTGGAAAGAAGGTTGGTTCCACCCAGCTGCTCGTGATGCGTTTCAAAGTCGGAACACAATACCATGGGTTCGCTTGCACTACGTGATTCTGGAGTGCGTCCAAAACCAGGGAAAGTCTTTTTTGGTCTGGCAGATTTACAAGGACCCTCCCCAAAACACCTGCATTGACAAAGGGCTCGCCCTTTCTCCGACCCCAAAACCTCTGTTTTGGGCGGGCGGCATGTGAGTCCAGCGTCTCCAAGATCACCTCCAGCTGCTGAAGGTTCAGTCGTTCCTGCATTGACTCAGGCCGGTGATCTCACGTGCATTTTTCGGGTAAACTGAGCAACCCTTAGTTCTACCTACTGGGACCTCAGCCCTGTTGGTACATACCGACCCAAACAAGGCTACTAATACATAGAATATAATAATACATATATATATATAATATATACATATATATATATTATAACATTGAATAAGACTTAGTAAGTAAAAACCATCGGGGGTGCCTTCTCTGGGGCACCTGACAATGCTTTGTCAACACATGGCTCAGGATTTGTTTCAACCGCAAAAAGTGGGTCCTACAATTCCATTTATTCAGTCTTCCAACCACAAAAGGGAAAATGGCTCACCCTAAATGGAAATCTCCAGGGGTCACCCCCCTCCCCCAATTTCATTTTGAAGGGGGTAGGGACATGGTCTTATGATGAAAGGACGGCACGTGGCATCAGCCTCATTCACAACAAATGGCCGCAGAGCGGCCACACACAGACACACAGACGCAGAGATACAGAGACACACAGACACAGACGCACAAACCCACAGAGACACAGACACACACGAACAGAGACACGAACACATGCACATACACATGCACATGCACATACACATATACACACACACACACTCTGGCACACACACTCTCACACACACTCTGGCACACTCGCACACTTTCACATTAATGTGTCCAACCCGTAGTGGGTCGCCTGGATTCCCTGTATGCGAAGAGTGACACTGACCCACCGTGGTGGGTTGCTCAGTTGGGAAAAGCATGGCGATCCCCCACCCTCTTTGTTCCTCAATTTACTGGAGCCGACTTTGGGATTAGGACGCATCTTGCACCTGAGCATCCTGTGTGTTACACCTGTTTGAGAAACAAACACGTCGGAGGCATTGAATGTAGGTTTGGCATGGGATCTCTTGTCGGGAAGCTACTGAACTAGCAAACGAGCATTGATGCAGACAGGAAGCACGCAGCCGCGTTCCACCGCACAACGGACTGAAAGGACAGATGCTCCAACCATCGATGGTCACGCGATTCTCGGAGTTACAACCATTTCGCCAGTCCCAGGAAATGAACCGCGGCCGTCCTCCCCTCCGAAGATCGCGCCCATGTCAACTGCCACGGCCTGCCAGCAAGAGGACAGGTGGAGTCGCGGCCACGTCATAGAACAAATCGGGCTTTCTCGCTTGCTTCACGTGCCATGTGCCGAAGCGTGTCCCGGCCGAATGCAAGCCTAAGACAAGCTTGGAAGCAAGATTTTGTAGTCCAACAACCTTTATAGCACACGCAAGCTCGGGTTGTACGAACTCACTCGATCGCATTGCTATATTTTCTTGGGGAGTCAAGGACTGTAGAGGCCACCCAAAGCTCCACGGGGTTGACTCCTTGTTGGCTGCTCAATCACCCTGCCAACAGGCATCATGCGCAAACAGCCTCAATTCCTCTGGCCCATTCCGGCCTACTCCAAAAGGCATGGGTGGGGGATTTCCTGCGCAGGCCCCCCTGACTTCCTGGGTGCGCCTTGGGGCCAGCGTCGCCCTCTTCTGGAGGTGGAGGCGGCACCGCCTCCTAGAGACTCGGCACTGTGGGTTGAACTCTCGCACCAAGTGCTCCGTGCGTGTCATTCTGCACGTTTCGGCTTCAAATGCTTTGCCGGATTCAAAGGCCGTCCTTTGCTGGGCTATCCGGTTTCGGATCCCCTAGTAAAAGCTTAAGTGGAAGGTTAAATTTGGAAACCCAACCACTAAACCAGCTAAAAGACCTAAACAGCTGAGTTGAACCGGACGATTCGCTGGGAGCCACCAAGCTTCGGCTTCCCTTTGGCCCCCCAACCACAAAACTTCCCGATGATTTCTTCGCACACTTCGCTCCGACCTCTGCCTCCTCAAGCTTCCCATGCGCATACCTTGGCTTGGATTTGTGTGTCGCAACGCAGAAGAGGGCTGGCCGTGAAAAGCAAGTTGGCCGGGCATGCCGGCTTTCTGGGCCTACCTTCACGCATTTTACGAACTGGCCAAGATAAGCACTGAGAAATGGACCAGTCTTTAGCAGGAATTGCGGAATCAATCTGAAAGCCAACCTTCTCAGGGAGCCAGACATCCCTTCTTATTCCAACCCTCAGCCCAAGATGAACCAGTCAAGCCTTTCGGCGGGCTATGCAGGTCCCTTCAGCAAGCGGAGTGCCGCCCCGCAGCGACTAAGACCTGGCTTAACACATGTTCCGGTGAGTGGCAAATTGGACCTTCTCCACTGATGGAGAGACCGTGAGAAAGATGCGTGTTTCCAGGTGTCATGGTCCTGGGGGAAAGAGGTGCCACTAACGATGGAAACATGTTCAGCGTGCGTGGCGTCAATCAAATCCAATGTATTCTGCCAGCGGCAACGCCAACTGAGCTTCCGCCAACTGAGCTTCAACAACATACGGCTGTCAAGGGTGGTCCCCAAGCCCCCGAAATCTTTTGTGGTCAATCTTCAGTGTTTGGTGGCCTGGTCAATGTCGCCTGCTTGAGAAGCGGGGGAGGCTGGGGTGGGGTGGGGGAGAACGGCTCGTCAATGATTCAAACCCTTGCATCACATAGGATTGTAGACCCCACACACAGGATGATAAGTATCGCGGCAGTGGCATGCACTGAGTGACTGGCTCCAGCACATATCTCAGGGTGGCCTCAGTCGATGCTCATCAGCGAGGCTGTCACCAACTAGATATCTAACTCCTGCTGCGGGCAGATAGGTAGGCTCCCAGCTTTGGTCAAAGGCAATGCCATGCCGCTCGCAGTGTCAATATGACCCAATGTTGCAGTTGGCATTCTCAGGAAAAACAGAAGCTCACAGGTGCATGATACCACCCAAAGCTGATGCGTCGAAGCTCCTGCCTTGCAAGTACAAAACAATTTTGCCTAACAAACTGGTATTTCTTGCTTGCTTGCTTGCTTGCTTGTGACTAGTAGTGATTCAGAAGGTCTCAGCTTAGGGTAACACGGCCTGGTCAGAGAGTTCACAATCCATGGTGTTGACTAATGGTCTGTTGGCTTCAAGGCCCTCCCAACAACTCACCCATTGCCAATTGAAAGCTTCACAAGAAAACGACAAGTGGCAGTCGTTTTCCGGCGTCCACATCGATACGCTGAAAAACTGACTGGCTCAACTCCAGGCATCACCCGGTAAACTTTAGATGTTATCTGGAGTGTGCATCACTTCATCCGCTGAGTGAGCTGTCACGCGAGTCTCCAACTCCAAACTCGCTCCTTTGGTGTGACAACACGCCCAATCCAGATTGACTCATTGATGGCTTAATCCTGAATTCTTGCAGAGTTGGAGACTGGCGTAGCTAGGACGCCAACTACATCTTAGGAAATGAGGGGAGCCACCCAAAAAATGAACCGACTGCCAGCAAAGCCGCCAGTTCCACTTCATTTTTTCTATCCCCGCATAGCGTTACAGTTTTTAAGACCTCCTTCGGCTCCAAGGACGCGCTTCGCAGCGCGGCGCGCTGGATTCTTGGGCCGCCGGCCGGTGCCAGGACACGCTCCTGGTAGTGGGGCCAGGGCTGGGCCTGGCGAATAGGATCCACCCCCCCCTCCACTCCAGGCACGGCCCCAGGGTGGGGAGGGGGGGCGTTGGAGCTGGGAGCTGGCAGCCAAAGGAGAAAAGGACAAGCAATCACCCAGACGACGATCTAAAGTGAACTTCGGCAAAATGCCCTAAGTCAAGTCCGCGAAAAAAAACACCATTGCCCCCTCCCTCCAAAAGACTCTGGAAGGCCTCTGTGGCGCTTGGTCCCGATTCAGCGCACAACTGGCTTGGTCTGTTGAAAAGGACTCGGGGACCGTCTCTTGGGGGGATCTATTGGTAAACGAGTCTCTTCAGTCAGCGAGAAAAGTGCCGGGGGCGCAATGTGTCAAACAAGAAGTTCACCGTACCAGTACCGTTGATAGGGTCTATTGCTTTTGGAGCAAGACCTGAAGTACAAGTTCCAATATGCATTGCATATTTGAGAAGCTGCAGTGACACTAACACAGGGGCGACTATTCTTAGCACTTGAGAACTTAAGGCAGTAGCCTGCTGACAAAGCAAGAAGTGCGACAACTGTGGCGACGGCTGGCATGTCCGCTTAGCTAAGGCAGCTGCCAGAAAGTAATAGATGGAGCGGATGGAGCGGCGATTCTCCTACGCAACACGAGCAAAAGCTCTTGGTGGGGGTGTGGACAAATGCTCTGTCCAGGTAGCTCTTCACTCTGGGGGCTCACCATATCAAAAACGCCCTCAGACTGACCATGCCTCCGTTTGTATCTTCTGGGGCCTGGCCGCAGCTTCAGCAACACGGGTTTGTCTCAAAATGATGGTTTGTCTCCACAATTGACCCATTTGTGAGACATGATGTGTTGAAACACGCGGGACTAACTGTTGGCGAGCTCAACCACCCACACCCACCCACACACACACACACATGCGCAGGCACACACGCCCAGCAAACAAACCAACACGCAAACACAAAAACACAAAAACACAAAAACACAAAAACACAAAAACACAAAAACACAAACACACACAAGCAAACAAACACCCGCGGACCACCCACACACACACACACGCACCCTAACACACACACAAACACCCAAAACAAACAAACACACAAACAACAAATAAACACGCAAACACGACACATTGCAAACACGCACAAACGCAAGCACAAACGCACGTTCACGCGCAAGACGCACCCACCCACGCACCCACGCACCCACGCACCCACGCACCCACGCACCCACGCACCCACGCACCCACCCACCCACGGGAGGGGGATCATTTTCGAACACCGATTTTGGATCATTTTCGAACACCGATGTCCTGGATCATTTTCGAACACAGAGTGGGTCATTTTCGAACACATGGGGGGGGCGGCGCCCGTGGGGTGGG